CACATGCACCCATGCAGGAGACCCAGATGAAGCTCCTGGCTCCCGGCTTCAGATCAGCTTATCTTTGGCCTTGGTGGTCATTTGGGGAGTGAACCCAAGGATGAAAGTCTCTCTCTCTTTCTGCCTTTCAAATAAAGATAATAACTCCCCAGTACTCTGCAGCATGGCCACAGCCCTCAATGCCCCAATCAGATTCCAGAAACTACTCTACTCTTTTGCCAATGATGATTCCTACACCGACAGAAAGGATCTAAACCCTTGGCCAGACTCCCGGCCTCAGCTTTGCTGGTGCACTAGCTCCTTGGCTGAGAATGACTGAGGCACTTCCTTCTCTCTGTAAATCTGCCTGTCCAATGAAAATAACCAAATCTTAAAAAAGAAGAAGAAAAAAAGATAGGCAATACCTTCTTAGCTTTCAATTTCTGCACAGCTAAATACTTTTCTCTCTCTGGAATAGTAATAACCAAGCTCCTTATGCAAATTTTTTATTTCATGTAATGGGCCACCAGCTGCAGTGGTTTTCAAAATGCAGTCTGATTTAGTGTTTTAGAAAATACTGAAATTTAACTGTGTTTGGGCCAACTTATATTTCTGCCAAGTTTCTGACTGTACTTATGGTGCTATCTGGACACACTGAGAACTTGGTCCTGGGAGAGAGGCACACTTCTGCCCACTTCACAATGTGAAATTGGAGGTCAGAGACAGGTCTAAAGCTTCACAGAAGCCTCAGAATCAGCCCCAAGACCTGTTCAGACTCAAGGACAAGAGCTCTTGGCTATATGGGAGAGAACAGTAACAAGAACAAGGAAGAAGGGTACCTGTTCTGGATGGACTTGGTTTCAGTCCAGGAGAGAAGCCCTGCGTCCACGCTGACCCTCCTGCATGTTGCTAGGAGCCTGCAGCAGCTGTGGCCTCCAATGACTTTATGGCTTTGCCCAGCCAGCAGCCAGGCTTCCCCCACTTGGACAAGCAGGAATGAGGAGCCAGGAGCTCTGAGAAGTCCTGGGGTGAGGGCCACGGGTGGCCTGCTTGTCTTGTCAATCTGCTTGGCCTCCTGGGAGTGCTCAGGGGACTCTCAGATAAGGTGTGACGTCAGATATGACCTCAGCTGGAGCCCTGAGTGAGGCTGGCATCACACTGTCTCCAGTGCACAGGCTCCGCTTACCTTGACCTCTCCTCCTGGCCCTGCTTCAGAGCTCATGTCCAGCCTCCTGCTACTCTCTCTGCCAAAGCAAGAGTGTGGTGGAGCAAAAGCCCAGGCTTTGAGATAGTCCGGATTGGAACTCCAGATCTCTCGTCATTCCATCATTCCACAGACCTGTGTGGGGTGCCTATTGTGAGTCAGACACTGAGCTTGGGGTTGGAGACCCAGGAAACCGGGGCACCACAAAATCTCAGGGAGTTTATAATCAGAGAGCCACACAGGTGTATTTAGTAATATGATACTTGCAAGATGTATTAATAGCACATCAAGAGAAATGAATCTATACGAATAGTTGGGAAAAGCTGTTTTGAGAAAGTGACTGAAAAAAAAAAAGAAGGGAAGACAAGGTGTAGAGCTGTAGAGATCCACTCTGCTGAGCTGGGATTCTATCCAGGTGTCCCACGGGGGTAGTAGAAACCCAAGTACTTGAGCCATCACAGGTTGCCTTCCAGAGTGTGCAAGAGCAGGAAGTTAGAATAGGGAGCCAAGCTGGTACTTGAAGGTATAGGAAAAGGTACTGGTGCCAAGGTGACACTTGGACTTCTATTTGGGCAAGGTGAAGAATTCCTATGCGACAGAGCTATCTTAAGAAATCGTAGGAATACCATACATAATGCCTAAGAATGGCAGTTGAGGCTGAATGTATGAGTATAAATTTGGGCAGATTTATAGAAACTGAAGTTACAGAGCAGTTGAAATCACCAGGGGAGGGCATGTAGAACGAGAACTGAGAAACCCAAAGTAGACCTTAGGGATTTAAAATTTAGGGCCCAGTGTTGTGATGTACTGGCTAAAACTTCCACCTTTAATGCTGACATCCCACATGAATACTTGCTAGGAAAAGCAGTGTGATGACCTAAGTGCTTGGCCATGCCTCTCACATGGGAGACTCAAAAGAAACTCCTGCTTTCTGCCTTTAGCCTGGCTCTAGCAGCCATTTGGAAGGTGAACCAGTGGCTGGTTCTCTCCCTTTTTCTCCATAGCTCTGCATTTCAAATAAATAGATACACCTTTAAAAAATAGATTTAACACTTAAAGGCAGGTAGAGAAACTTATATCAGAAAGATAGGAAGGTGGGAGGAAAATCAAAATTGGCCCCCAAAACTAATAAATGTTTTAAGAATAAAGACATGACCAACTTCATTGGCTGTTGCTGCCAGGTCAAGGAAGATAAGAATTCTCCCACTGAATTTAGTAGCATGGCAGTGCCTGGTAAACATCTGGGACAGAATTTCTCTCACACCAGCCATGTCATTGCTTTAGCTACTATGGAATTAGTGAATATTAACAGATTTATCACAGCCATTCCAGGAAAAGGGATTGTCAGATCGCCACCTTCTTTTAGAAAATCTGTAAGCCTGCATCTATGAAGTGTGAACCCTAAGTGCAAACTTCTACTTGAAGGTATTTTTGTTCTGCTTCAAATCAAGGAATTGATTGTCCCTTCGCTTGAAGATTAACACAGAACTTCATGCCAGAGTTTCAGGTAAAGTAACAAGATGACTACTTAATACTTATCTGACCCTTTGTGTGTTAAGAGCATGTGTGTACAATCATACACACACACACACACAGTAACTGTGGGAGCAGGCGACCTAGACATTCCATTGAGGTTCAATGGACTAAACTGACACATGCATATAAAGACCAGAAAATAGTGCCTGCACATAGTAGCATACACATGATGGCTATTTTTGGTGTTGACCTATACTATATCTAACCGCAGGCTGTGGGGCAAATCACTTAAATTCATTTCCCAATATAATCAATAATTTAGTGCTCTGGACCACATAGACACTTGAAAGTTATGTTTTCAGATGAAGAGATGAAAACTATGCAGGCAATACCTAAATTGGCTTGAACACTATATTTACCAGGAAATAAAACTATAATGGCTTCTGCTGTTGTATTAACTTTTTAAGAATGATAATGAAGTACCTGAAGCAGGTTACTTTATAAAGATGACTCTTGCTGATGATTCCGTAGGTGTAGCATCTAAATGTCTCATTTGGCAGAATGCTGAGGAACTACATAGCTTCACAAGCCAAAAGACAAGAAGCTCATGTGTCTGTTACCTTGCCCTCTGTAACACAAAACAAAGAGAAAAACTGTCACACAAGGATTGGGCCTTACCTCAATGACTTCAGTCACTTCCCAAAGGTCCTGCCTTTGTAACAGGGACTTCTTTAGAAGTGTCCACCCTCTCAAAACCATTACCATCTGATAGTGGAGATTAAACTCTTATATAAGGTTCGGAGACAGAGATCATATCCAAACCACTAGGTTATGTTAAAATTTATTTGCTACAATGATCTAAAGAGGAAAAGGTCTAGTCAGATCCAGCCTCAACACTGATAATTTCCAGTGCTGTTGCAATTGGCTCAGAAATGTGGGTGACATCAGGCTGGTGTGGAATAGGCAGCAAGGTACAGAGAAGATGGGTACACCAAGAGGTGTAGAGGAAGATAGAAGACCAGAAAAGTAAATTTGAACTTGGCATAGACTGTAGCATTTAAATTTGATGACAGGAAGGACCCTTCAGAGAAAGGGGCTGAAGATCCTGAAGAGAGCAGGGTGAGCTTCCTGAAAGGTAATGTGCTTTGTGATGAAGAACAGGTGGACATATAGCCTTCTGCTGTGTGGAACACTCTTCTAATGGCAAGGAAAAGACTGGTGTAGGTAGGCAATTTAGAAGACATACTGTTGGGTGTTGTGCACAAAACAGTGCATACACACACACACACACAACCACAACCATGTGAGGACACTTGCAAGCCAAGAAGTCTAAGGATGAGCCAGACACTTTGAACTTGGACTTTTCAATTTCTAGAACTTTAATAAATTGTTTAAAATTAAAACATTCTGTTGTTGGATAGAAGAGGCAGCTCTTGGCCTAACAACTTTGATCTTTTCTGTGAAAAGCTCATGAGTTAAGAGAGGCAAAAAGAAACGTTGGAGATTGGTACAATACAATGTTCTACTACTCATTAAAAGTTCTTGGAGTGGGAAAAACACGCTGCATAATGAGAGGGAATTCAAGTACTCAGTATTGCTCAGGCGTGGCAGGAACTTTCTCGGCAAACTTGTCAAAACCCTTAGAACTCTTCATCTTTCACATGGAGCCCTGTCTAAGCTAAGATCTTAAATGACATTAGCAAACCGAGTTATTCTTAGTGAGGAGTGTTAGCCTGGAGAAAACCAATGACTATAATTTAATTCTGACCATCTCCCTGGACTTAATGTTGGATCACACAAATAAAGGGCTTAGGCTCACAAGACTTCTCTTCCTTTAGATGCCACTTGCAAGTTGGCACCTATGGTTCATCTGACCAGCCAGCTGTAAGGTTTCCTCCTCTGGTTCACTAGTTGGCTAAAATACCTTACAAAATACAAGAAAACATTTTACTTACCAGTGTATTATATAGTATACAATTCAGGAACAGCCAGAGATGTAAAAGGCAAGGGTTTAGGGTGTGTGTGTGTAAAGGGAGTGTCCAGGTCCTCTCTATGCATGTCATTCTCCCAGTACTTCTATACATGGGAAACTCAGCAAATCTTGTTCATGAACTTCTACTGAGTGGGTGGAAAGTTCCACTTTTCTGATCACTTGGTTTTTCTGATGACCAAACCCATGTTGAGGCTACCCAGAGACCCCTAAAACAAGTCACCTGATCCACATAAACCCAGGTGAGATAAAAGGGTTTGCCTTAGGAATACCACTCAGGAAATTCAGTTTTAGTAGGTCAATGACCTGAAAAGTAAAAATTTACCTATGAACTAAATAACCACCACATTATACAATAAATAGCAAAATATTTTATTTTTATGTAAATCATCATTCAGTGAATATTGTTACATTCTGACATATCATGATTGGACATCCTTTTCACAAAAAAGCTTTTCTAAGGAAACAACTTGGAGTCTTCCACATTTGTCAGATGCCTTTTCATTATTGTTCTCCATTTTTGCAATTCTGGATCCAAATTGCATGGCTCGTTTTGGCAGGAGAGCAGAGGCTGTAAGGCCAAGTTCCACAGCTGCCAGACGTAAAATTAGTTTCTCACCAATTCCACGGGGCAAAGTCAGGTTTGCCTTTTCCCAGACTGGAAGGGAGTTTAGGAAAGAGACAACATCTTCATCCAGGAAGGGAAATCTAAAACAGACAGACAATATCACTACACATAAATAAAAGCACTCTGCTAGTGTCAAAACGGCACGACTAAAAGTTAATTATACTAAAAAAGAGCTTCAAACATATGGCAAATTAAATAAGCCTCAAATAAGTGTATGTTTTCAGTGATTTCAAATTTGGAAGCAAGCATCATCTATCTTAATTAGGCATTAAATCCCATCAGTGTCTGATTTTTTTTTTTTTCCCATGTCTAAAGAAACTGAACTTTAGAGATATAAAATCAATACAGAAGGGCTCCACAGCCCTAAATTTACAAAATACCTAGGGCCTGGCACGCTAGCCTACTGGCTAAAGTCCTCTAGGATCTTGAATGAGCCAGGATCCCGTATGGGTGCTGGTTGTAATCCTGACAGCCTTGCTTCCCATCCAGCTCCCTGCTTGTGGCTTGGAAAAGAAGCCAAGGACAGCCCAAAGCCTTGGGACCCTGCACCCGCATGGGAGAGTCAGAAAAAGCTCCTGGCTCCTGGCTCCTGATCAGCTTAGCTCCGGCTGTTGTGGCCACTTGGGCATTGAATCAGTGGATGGAAGATTTTCCTCTCTGTTACTCCTCCTCTCTGTATATCTGACTTTCCAATAAAAGATAATAAAAAAAATCTTAAAAAAAAAAAAAAACCTATGATATCAAAATCTACATTTAAATCATTAAAATAGTGAGAACTATGTATAACTGAACAAAATCTAAAATCCTTTCCTCTGAGTTTAAAAATTTCAACATTCCCCTCACACTAACTCCTCAAAATGCAATATGGCTACATTATTGTTTCCACTATCATGGCCTGAGTAGAAGGACTGCAAAGACATGTTACAGGAATATTTTATCTAAAAAGCATTGCAAAAGTAAATATAAATAGAAAACCTGTGACTACATACAGCTAAATAACAAAATGTTTAGCTTTAACCACTATAATGGCATTTTTATAATATGATTCTATATTGGTTATTTTTAAAAATAAAATCTTCTTGAAAAAATAAAAGTTTATTTGAAAGGCAGAGCAACAGAGGTTCAGGGGAAGAAGAGTTCTTGGCATCTGCTGGTTCATTTCCCAAGTGCTGAGGCTGGGCTAGACCGCAGCCACGAACCAGGAATCCCACCTGGATGTCCTAGCTGGAACACAGGGACCCGAATGCTCTGCTGCCTCCTGTGTGCACATCAGCAGGTCGATGGGTCAGAATCAAGGGGAGGAAGAGAACCCAGACACTCTAACATGCAATGTGGGCGTTGCAGGCATCACCTTAACTGCTATATTAACTCCCTATCCTTTTCTCTTTCTTTGCTCTACCCCTTCTCACTCTTAAAGGTATTTCACACACTTTGTATTGTCATACTAGTTATCTCTACACGGTGAAATACTGGAAATTATGAAAGAATAATGGTATAATAGTGAAAATTCCTCCAGTGTCAAGACTGACAACAGTGACAACTGTACAAATCATGACTTAATAGGAAGGACTGAAGTAGAAACAAACAAGATACAAATCTGAGAGAGATGGAAAGAAACAATCAATTCTAACCTCTGTGCAGTTCACCAGGACTCCTTACACTTGCATCCTTGTGCTTCTGTGAAAAACCACCACTTAAAAAAGTTAACTACTCAAACAGATTTTTACTCGTTTTAACTGTTACAACTTCCTTTATCCTTCATATTTCAAAAAGCTGTATCCAAGTACTTGTTTGCTAACATCAGATATATGTTGCACGTGACAATGGATCCCTGAAGTGTACAAACACAGAAATGTCTACAGAGACAAAGCACACTCTACCACACCAGGGAAAGACTGGGATGGGATTATACCCTGATGGGAGTAAGCAAACACTTAAAGCAAAACAAAATACTTTAAGAAGTTCCTCTTAGCTGCACTTTCATAGTCTTTTTCATTAGCCTTAAACATTCAAGGAGAGAGGGAGAACTCTTCCATCGATTGGCTCACTTCTGAGAGGGCTGCAGAGGCTGGGGCTGCACCAGGCTGAAGCCAAGAGTCAGGAGCTGCTTCCAGGTTTCCCACGTGGGCAGCTGGGGTCCAGGTACTTGGGCTATCCTCCACTGCTTTCTCCAGCCATCAGCAGTCAGCAGTCAGCACTATGTCACAAGGCCAGCCCCACCATACTGCCTTTCAACATTACCGAAATAAATGTTTTTGGAGAACCAGTTTGGAAAAACAAGTGCTGCCCTGGTTCTTCCCAGCTTGGTTTCTGACTGTGTTTTCTAACAGAAAGTCAAATTATTGTTACTGCTTCTGCCATACCTTCAGCATGCATAGGAAAAGGAACTTAAAGTCTGCTTTTTCAGTCTCTTATTTTCACAAAAACACAACACTCACATCATTAGAGTTACCTTGCTTCTTTTCCATGATCACCGATAACTCTGTCATCACGACCAAGATTTCTAGAAGAAATTCGACCCAGTTCCATGGCTATTTCCTTATTCAGTCCTTCCAATCCATGTGTCTGAAAGCGAATGCGATGACGAGAATAACCTGCAAGCTGCTCATCGGCACCAATTCCAGTGAGAATTACCTATAAGATACAGAAGTCCACATGAAAATATCCTCTATTACACCACAGCGAAACACATGAAAGATTCCAACCCTACAGGCAACACTGCTGGAGAAAAACCACAAGTCACAAGACAGAAGAATATGCTCTATTTTGAAGGAGTCATCAATGAAGTGTCTTCAAAAAGATCACGAAACAGACATGTTATGAAGTAACTAGGCATGGACCTCAATTTCTTTGCACCAAAATAAGCTCACCTTTTAATTCCATTTTTCTAGAAATTTCTATAAAGTGTACACTTAGGATGTACTACAACTTAAATGCAGCTATACTGCTTAAATAGGCTATACTGCTGCAATCAAGGGTCAAAATTGAGACTCAGAAATTCTGAACCAGAAACACCGGTCGTACCTTTGCACTGCTCTCGTAGGACTTCACTGACTCCCGGGTCACCAGCCAGCCAGCGCCTCTGGAAGCAAACCAGACCGCACAGCCAATGCTGTCATCCAAAACTGTGTCCAGGGGATGAACTAAGTGACGTATTTGGGCTCTTCTGAACTTTTGCAGTTCTTCCAGAGAAACATTAATTTCAACAAAATTCCACATCCGAGAAGGGTTAAGAGCTTGCAGTTCCTTCAGGCCTGCCCTCCCTGTGATTCTGTCTGGTACGCAGTACTTGTCATGAGGATTGTCATCAGTGATGATGGCAGCGTGTTTAGTGACCTCTTCAGAAGGCAGCTCACACTCTGTCCGTTTACTCCTTCTCTGCTTACCGCTACTTGGAACGGCCTTTTCTTTAGTCATGAAGGCTACATTTAGAAGATCAACTGGCTCATCTAAAGGAATATGACGGTCAGCAAGGGCAGCAATAACCATGGAATCAACGCCCCCAGAAAACAGGATCGCAATATTTGCTTTCTTCTCACCTGGTTTTAAAACTTCATCTGGTGCTGGGCTTTTGCCCCTACACAAACACAAGACCCGTCTCTTGACTGCAACACTAAGAACATCAATGAACCGCTCCACTACTTCCTTCCTGTGTCCGTCAGTGAGACAGACCTGAAGTGTCTCTCTTGAGGGTGGCCTGCTGGGAAGGGGACTGCACAGAGTCTCCATTGGAGTCCGTGGCAACATCATATTTAAAGGAGAAATGGGATTTTCAAGGTACAATTTGGCTTCATTTCCTACCACAGATACAAATGTTGGCCAGTCTGCTGAGACCTGAGGCAAGCTACTATCACATTCTTCGGGAACACCATCCCTAGAAGTACATTTCCAAGGATACAGCTGCAACATGACATGTTTGGAAATGGCAACAGACTCCAGATTAATTCGGAAAATTCCAGATGCTGGGACCTCTTGCCATTGACTTGCTACCCCAGTAGTTTGGGTGCCAACTGAAGAGAGGCAGAAACTCATGTCCAAATTATTAAACCGCCAAAGCAGACTACGACGACCAAAAAAATCCTTACCAAACCATAAATCATGGCTAGATGCTTGATAATATATGAAGGACCAGGGGCCTTGGACTTGTGAGAAGAGTGACACTATATCAGATTCACTCTTGCAGGAGGAAAGGCAACTGAACATGACTTGAGTATCATTCTCTAGAGCTTCAACCTTTATTCCATCAAAGACCTCTCCATTCCACAGGAGCACGTTGCCTCTCCCATCTTCCACAGGCTGGGCAGTCAGAGCACCTCTCAAGTGAAGGACATGGCCAGAAAATAAACACCGGTAGTTAGCATCGCACTTTAACAACTGCTTGCTGCAGTCGGGGCCCCGTCGTTTAAGACTGCACAGTAAATCCTCTTCCAAATCTTCACGGAAATGGTCCACAGAAAAGCTTACAGAACAACAAATGCCACACATTATTGTGGGAAATCTGGTTGACTATTTCTTCATATTGGTCTTCTCTGAATTTTCTATTTCTTGATATTCTTTCTTCAATTCATCTAACATATCTGTGGCAGAGAGACAGAAAAAAATATTAAGCAAAATAAGAACCCTCTGCATCTCGTGTGTGTGCCGCTTTGTGTCCCAGCTGCTCCACCTGCCATGCAGCTGCTTATGGCCTGGGAAAGCAGCAGAGGATGTCTCAAGTCCTTGGGCCCCTGCACCCTCGTGGGACATCTGGAAGAAGCTTTTAGCATCTGGCTTTGGATTGGCTCAGCTCTGGCCATTACAGCCACATGGGAGTAACCAGAAGATGGAAGATCTGTCTTTTGTCTTCTCTTTGTCAATCTGCTTTTGATATAAAATAAAATCTTAAAAAAAAAAAAGAACAAAAGCTGCTCGAGGGGCAGGCATTGTGGCACAGTGGCACAGTGGGGCAGCTTGCCGATAGGGGCATCCTCTCCCACACTGGAGTGCCGACAACCAAGTCCAGCTTCCTGCTAATGTGTCTGGGAGGCAGGAGATTACGTCAGGTCCTCAGGTTACTGCACTCCTGCAAGAGACTTTGTTTCCAGTTCCCTGGCTTTGTCCGGCCCAGCCCTGGCTACTGCGGGCATTTGGGCAGTGAACCAGTAGATATTTCTACCCCTCATCTGTCACACTGTCTTTTAAAAACAAACCTTAAAAAAATAAAAAAAATAAAAAGATGCCTGCCCATATTGGAGTCACTGGGTTCAAGTCCCTGATAACACAAATCCTAAGAGGAAGCAAGCGACAGCCCAAGTAGCTGCATCCCTGCTGCACACAGGGGACACCTGTGTGTCCCAGCCTGGAACTGCTCCAGCCCTGGCTGCAGCAGGCATCTGATAAGTAAGTAAACAGAAGGAAGATTCTTCTGTCACTCTTTCTCTTTCAATATATAAAACGGAGGTTTTTTGTTGTTGCTGTTTTTTAAAGAAAGTTTATGAAACTACTCTTGGATTCTTCTGTAATAACTCACAGGGCAAAGCAGGACATTTATTAAGGTATATGCACTGTGATTATCCGCACTGTGCTAATGTCGGTAGTAATTCATGACAGGCTAGGACAAAGCATGCTTTCCTTTCAGAGTAAAAGTGCTTATTGAGTGCTTATTTTAAATGTGCAGGCATTCAGTTAAGCACGATTACTTCATACACTCTTATTTTATCCCATAGCTTGGGAAGCTCATGGTATTTCTTCCAAAGTCACAATGATAAAAAGCGACAGAATGGTTTTCAGACCGATTTATGCCAGTGATAACTGCCTTCTAAGATGCCACACGGGGTTTTGCTTATTTATTTATTTATTTTTAAAGATTTATTTATTTTTATTGGAAAGGCAGATATACAGAGAGGAGGAGAGACAGAGAGGAAGATCCTCCGTCCGATAATTCACTCCCCAAGTGACCGCAACGGCCGATGCTATGCTGCTCCGAAGCCAGGAACCAGGAACCTCTTCCAGGTCTCCCACACAGGTGCAGGGCTTTGGGCCGTCCTCGACTGCTTTCCCAGGCCACAGGCTGGGAGATGGATGGGAAGTGGAGCTGCCGGGATTAGAACCGGCACCCATATGGGATCCCTGCGTGTTCAAGGCGAGGACTTTAGCCTCTAGGCCATGCCGCCGGGCCCGGTTTTGCTTATTTTTAGTTTTAGTATAACTTTATCATTGAAAGACTGACTAGAAGAAAACCAATCACTGATTATTTACATACATTTAAACATCCAGGCATGGGCAAGGTAACAGAGGCAATGTCGTGATTTTACGCAGGAAGTATACAAAACATTTTCTGTGTCTTTGTGTAAGACAAAACTGGGGAATCTTTATTTTTTCTGAGAAGAGTCAGTGGGACATTTACAATATTGTTGGCCAAATTATCGGCTTAAAAATTAGTTTGCTAGTGCCCAGTGCCAAAGCGTAGCAGTTAAAATTCTTGCCTTGAACGTGCCAGGATCCCATACAGTCGCTGGTTCTAATCCTGGTGTCTCCACTTCCCAGCCAGCTCCCTGCCTGTGGCCTGTGAAAGCAATCAAGGACGGCCCACAGCCTTGGGACCCTGCACCCCCACGTGGGAGACCTGAAAGAAGCTCCTGGCTGCTGGCTTTGGATTGGCTCAGCTCCAGCTGTTGCGGCTGCTTGGGGAGTGAACCATCACATGGAAGATCTTCCTCTCTGTCTCTCCTCCTCTCTGCATATCTCTTTCCCACAAAAATAACTAAAATCTTTAAAAAAAAAAAATTAGCCCGCTATAGATTTACTGAACTTCAACTTCCACCTGAGGTTGTTTTGGTGGGGCTAGAGAGCAGAGTTCACGGACCTTACACAGCCAAGGGGCGGAGTGTTCCCCGAATGATACAAGATAGGACAAGTCAAACCCAACTTACTTTTGCTTTCAGAAAGCATCTCTGCTCGGTCTGCGAGGAAGAATAAGTTGCTGTTCTGCTGCTGTCTATACACCTTCTGCAACACATAATACAGATTAAAATCAACATTTGCTCATGTACTGGTGAACTTCAGGAATAGTATTTAGCAAACACAGACAAAAACAAAGAGACAAATACCAGTTACCTGCCACCAAGACACTGCTGTCATTACCAGTGAGCAGAAACTTGTCTTTTCCTTGCCTACACCATAATATCATTCCTGTTTATCAAGAAAGACCCTTGAGCCTGGCGCAGTGGCTGAGTGGCTAAAGTCTTTTCTGGCAAGCATCGGAATACCATATGGGCGCCGGTTCATGTCCTGGCAGCCCCACTTCCCTTCCAGCTCCCTGCTTGTGGCCTGGGAAAGCAGTGCAGGACAGCCCAAAGCCTTGGGACCCTGCACCCGGGTGGGAGACCTGGAAGAAGCTCGTGGCTTCGGACTGGCTCAGCTCTTGGCGGTTGCAGCTATTTTGCAAGTGAGCCAGTGGACATAAGCTCTTTCTGTCAAACTGCCTTTCCGATAAAAATAATCTTAAAAACAAACAGTAAGTCTTCTACTGCAATCTTAGCTTCGTACTTCCATCAATGAGCAATACATTGGGAACGGTTTTTTTCATCAATACATATTCTTTTATCGCACTGCATGACATTTGGTAGTTTACTTGCTCAACCCTCAAATGTCAGCCATTTAAAGCATGAATCATCTATTCAAACTCACTGTAAAAAACAAATTTAAGTGCAAAATAGTTATATTAGTGATATAGCTCAAAGATGTCAAAATATAACCAATATTAGTGTCAAAGGTCTTGTAAATGGCAGGATAGGAAAGAGAGATAACAGTCTGAATTTTAGGAGACCCACATACCCATACACATTAAAACAGTTATACGTTCAACTTTTGCAGTTTATCTTGTAAATGTAAATATCAATCTGTTACATGTTTTTAACTTTATACAATGTAAATATAACCACTACTTCCACATTCTATTTGGAATTACTATACTCACCCTATTCTTCTTCAGGTTAGAAAGTTCATCCACAACAACTTTTTGTTCTTTAATCTACTGAAATAAAGAAAACCTATTAAAATAGAGGGCCTTAAAATTATGCTCCATTAGATGACGGCTTTAAGACTAGACAGATGGCATAAGGGCTATCACGTACTGAGTGTCCACCTGGGCAGTCTAGGAATAGAAACTTCTTTCCACCCTCCGTGTGGGTGCACATGTGCAGGGACAAATGGCAGTTACTGGCAGGCGACCCACGGAGCCCAGCCAGTGGGTCTGATGTTGGCAACCACCAGCATTTGTGCCTACGGCCACTGTTACTAAACAAGACTTATACAGACAACAGGACCCCAAAGCAAAAATGATTTTCCATTAATTTTTAATTATTTAGATTAGTATGTAAAAAAAACCAACAGAATGAGGGATGAGTTTAGCAGGGCTTTTCATGATTTAGCTACTAATTGGTGCAACCCGCATATTCATATCAAGCAGGAAATAGTAAATGCACCTGTGTTTGCATCTTCCGTTTTTGTATGTAAAGACTAAGCCAGGGGCCCATGCTGTGGCTTAATGGTAGGCCACCACTTGTCACCCAGGCATCCGATGTGGGCAATGGTTCGAGTCCTGGATGTTCTACTTCCAATTCAGCTCCTTGGTAAGGTGCCTGGGAAGGCAGTGGAGGAAGATCCAGTTCCTTGGACCCCCTACACCCACTTGAGAGCCTTGGAAGAAGCTCCTGGCTCCTGGCTCACATCAGCCCAGCTCGGGCCAGCGTGGCCACTTGGGAGAGTTAAGGAGGGAATGCATCTCTCTGTGCCTCTCCTTCTCTGTCTTGGCACCTCTGCTTTTCAGACAGACAGATAAACAAAGCTAAGCACAGGGCTTTAAAAAAAGCTTCGTTTTTTTTTTCTTTAATTGTAGAGAGAACAAGCAAGGGAAAAACTAACTTTGTTTTTGACACTGAACAACTGTGTCTGACGACATAGCAGCATCAGTCCCTCTAGCAGCAGATTAACCACCTTCACCATCCTCTCCCCAAGGGCGCGATGGCAGGTGCCTATTCCACTTTGCACAGGAGGAAACAGTCATGCTGAGAGCATATAAGGCCCTGCAGAGACACTCCTGTCGGCGACTCAAACAGGCCAGACAAGGAGTTGGCTTCGGCACACCTTAACGGTGTTAACCAATGGAAGTTACGATTCAGACAGCAGAGGCTCCCCACCGCTCTTCTTTCTTGGGGCAAGGGCGGACGCATGCTTTAGAGTCGCCCTTTGGGCCCAAGCGAGAAGAGCCTAGAGGGAGGCAGGCAGGTGGATGATAGCACGGAAGCCCCCACGGGGCTCCGGGTACCAGGTGTCCATGGCACTCCTGTCTGCAGGGCAAAACTGAAGGGTGAGCACACGATGCCGCAGGCATCACTGCATGGATGAGTGACTGTGTTGGACACTGGCTTAAGAGTAGATGCGGGGCCTGGAGCAATTGCCTAGCAGCCAAAGGCCTCACCTTGCACGCACCAGGATCCCTTATGAGCACCGGTTCTAATCCCGACAGCCCCGCTTCCCATCTAGCTCCCTTCTTGTGGCCTGGGAAAGCAGTCGAGGACGGCCCAAGCCTTGGGACGCTGCACCCGCATGGGAGACCTGAAGAGGCTCCTGGCTCCTGGCTTTGGATGGGCGCAGCTCTGGCCGTCGCGGCCACCTGGTGTGTGACTCCATGGACGGAAGATTTTCCTCTCTATATCTCTTCCTCTCTGTATATCTGACTTTCCAGTAAGAATAAATAAATCTTTAATAAAACAAGAGCAGTGTGAGGGGAAAGGAGGAGGCCATTAACCGAATGAACCAGGGCACAGCTGCGGCCGCTCCGACCACCGTCACCGTCACCGCTCACGGCGCCCTCGCCCGGTCTCCCCGGGCCGGGGCCCCCCGCGTGTACACGCACCTTACTGCACAGATCCTCCTTGTGTAGGGTCGAGCTGTCGGCGGGGCCCGGCGCGGCCTGGTCCTCGGGGAGCACCCCACGGCCCGGCATCTCACCGACCCGCAGCCGGGCAGGAGTCAGAAACCCAGACAGCGCGTGCGCACTGCGAGCCCCGGCCAGCCTCGGCCCAGCGCGTGCGCACTGCGAACCCTGCCAGCCGGGACCCAACGCATGCGCATTCCCAGGGTCAGTGGCCCGACAAAGCGCGTGCGCACTCACTACCCCGCCCGCCCCGGTCCAGCGCGTGCGCATTCCCAACCCCGCGGGCCCTGGTTCAACGCATGCGCACTCCCAACGCCGCCAGTCCCGCCCCCTCCAGGTCGTCCTACCGCCAGGGTGTTCACTTGTGCGCCTGCGCAGCCCGGCCCTGGCGTCCCCGCCCCCACACCGGGAGCAGGCGCGCAGAGGCTTAGAAGGGCACGAGTGTGCCTCAACCAGGTTGAGCAATATGACTGCGACGTTGCCCCCTAGCGGATCGGAGGTAGAAACACTCAAGTGGGCTATTGACAGGCTCCCATCAAGTTACTTATGAGTCATCTGCGCCCCCTTGTGGTACAACTAAAGAATAGTAGCACAACGGAAATAACCACTTAAATTGTTAGACAAAAAGCTAAAACACAGGTTGAAAGGATACAGGGGTGCAACGGAACCCCGCAGACCTACAAAAACTTTCAGGTAAAGCACAATCTTACGCGAATTTAAATGCTAACTTCAAGTGAGCAAATACTTTTTTAGTGTACATTCAATGCAATATTTGCAATATGTTATTCTTGGGAAAAAAAAGCTAAATTTAGAATAGGCAAGAGATTACGTATGCTTCTCCAGTGCTATTCTGGGATTAGTTTTCTGTGAACCTAGATATTTTACAATCTGGTCCAGGCAGGTAACAGAAAAGGAGTTGTGAAATTGTTTTTGGTAAAGATGCTATTAATTTCTGCTAGCTGAGCAGATACTTGTAGAAGGTTATGATTTATTGTTCTGTACAACACTAATCAGTTACGTAGCTAACCTTGGCCTACTATCTGAACATTTCTCTCTTTTTAAAAAGATATATTTAATTTGCTTGAAAGGCAGCGTTACAGAAAGAGGGGGAAGGATAGAGCCATCTTTCCACTGCTGGTTCAGTCCCCAAGTGGTGAAAGTGAGTGGGCTGAGGTAGGCCAAAGGCAGAAGCCGGGAGCTTCATCTGGGTCTCCCATGTGGGTGCAGCAGCCCTCGTGCTTGGGCTGACTTGTGCTGCTCTTCCAGGCACGTTGACAGGCAGCTAGATCCCAAGTGGAGCAGGAGATGTGATATCCCAGGAAATGGCTTAACCCGTGCGTCGTAATGCCCGCCTGTAGCCCCTGTCCAGATGATGCGTTACTGTCTGCAGTCCTAATCACAGGCCATTGGGAGTCTTCCTCATAGAGCTTTCTCCCTTGACTTTTGTTCATGCCCTCCCCTATGCTTCTATTTCCCATCTCACCCTAGACCTGCCTGCAGATGCTGCGTGAAATCACACATGAGGCTTGCCTGACTGCCTCAGGACGGCTTGTCTGCAGCCCAACAGGCCAGGATTGAGGAAGCACCTTTGGTTCCTGAAGTCAGCACTGCTTGCTTATAGGCTCTTGTGCAGGGCAGGGGCTTAGGGTGAGGGCTGTGAGACCCCTAGGGTGCTGAGGGAGTCAGAGAGTGCCTCTTTGTCCCATCCTGTGTGCCTGACGTGCTCTCTGCCTCAGCTCTCCTGCCAACTGCATGCGCACACTGTCCTGTAATCTAGCAGTCAGTGTGGCTCTGGGGGCAATGGAAGGGAATTTCCCTGCTGCCCTGGTCATCTGTGAGAAGAGAAAAAAGGCTGTCAAAATGGTCAGAGGTTCAAGACCTTTGCCGTATGGGTTCCTTACCTACCGACTTGTACAAAGCCAAAGTGCATGCTGAGCCTCGTTTGGCTCACATCTTGCAGAAGCAAACTTAAATGATAATCCTTTCTGGGAGTTAGCTTACAGCGCATGGCTGAGTCAGTTCAGTGAAGTAGTTAGCAAGTGTTTACTATCAAAGGAACCGCAAATAATGGGCAGGCATTCACGGCCGCCAAATTTGCATTTAGATATGTTCACCTGTGTGAATCAATGGAGGCAAAGTGTAACTGATATATTATTGATGGCTACGTACACATTGACTTGATGTTTTCCTTTATAGAATGCTCTTATTATAATAGAGTTCTTCGCAGTGAGGTCTTTTTACCCAGTACTGATTGCTTAATAAGTTGTTAAGTAACTTGTTTCATAAAGTTGTAAATCAAAATCTGTGTAAAGGCCACCAGGTAACTGCCATGGCAATGCCAAAGTCTTATTAATTAATTTATTTTTTTGTGTTCAGGAGTGAGCTGGGAAAATACTACTTGTTTTCCATGGCGTAAGAAACAAGCTATCTCAATTTGCCTGTAGATTGCGTTTCAATTTTTAGAACATTACAATGTCCTGGTCATTGCTTTGCCCTGGTAGAACAAAGGGAGACAACACCACACACAGATGTGTGTCTGGCTTTCCAATGATTTTAGGGTGGAGTGTGCGAGGCTGAGATTAACTTCTGTGTGACCGAAGTCCTGGTTCCTAGGGTTCCATGTTATCACTCCTGGGTGTGCCTGGGACTGGCGCTGAGCTCTTATGAAAGAAAGCATGCAGGAGGCTTTTTGCAGAATGTATGGTGGGAGAAGAGGGGAGAGGTGAGAGTGTGAGCGAAGCTGGGCAGTCAGAATTTTGGAAGACTACTTTGAAGAATCAGAAGTTGTATATATAATTATATAATAACAACAATGAATACCACCAGTACTAACATTTGTACTACTTATGATATGGCCATGAATCAAGTTAATGAAGACAAAATGCAACTAAGTAATGTTCCCTGGGAATATAAATCAATTGACCTCAGTTTCTTCCATAAGGCACATGATTTGAAGTGTTTAGTTCAACTACTTAAAGAAACTTGTAAGGGCTCATGCTATGTTGTGGTGAGGTAAAGTTGCCACTTGCAGTGCCAGTACCCCATATGGGTGTTGATTCAGATTGGAACTGCTCCACTTTGCATTCTGCACCCTTTTAATGCTGTCGAAAGACCAGCAGAAGATGGCTCAAGTGTTTGGGTTCCACGTGGGAGACCTGGATGAAACTTGATGCTCTTGGCTTTGGTGTTGGGCAACTGGGGAATGAATCAATAGATGCAGAATCTCTTTTTTTCCGTCTCTTCCCCTCTGTCATTTCAAAATAAATAAATACTTTTTCTAAAGAAGCTCTTACATTGGCTTGAAAATTTCTGTTGTGGCATTCAGAAGACCTTGGATTGTTTTGTCATTTACTCAATTCAGAAATTTTGATTCGTAAATTTTATTTTCTTGAGCAATATGAAATGTCTCAAAAAAATGCTGTAAGCATGGCAACTAACCCGTCATGTGTCTTGTGCTTTACAAGGAAGGCTACCTGCTGAGGGGGAAGCAGGAGGGAATCAGAAGCGAAGGATGTCCTTATGGAGAACGAAATCTACTTGTCAGCGGCCTCTGAGGCTCGTGTCATATTTTATAGCTTGTATTAGACTGATAAGCTCTCCCAATGTGATAAACATTTCAGATCTCGGCACTTTTTTCTTTTCATGTTTATCTCTCTGTAATTCTAAAATTATAATTTCTGATGAAAGGCTGTCATCATAAAAGGTAACCTAGCCCCTTTTGATGCAACGCAATGCCATTAACAAGAATTCCATGACTTTCTGTTGGTTGCTTTTCGTGGTAGATAGAAAATGATTCTAACCTCCTGAAGAAGTAAATACTGGTATAAGAATATGGGATATTAACTTTGTGAATGATATAGCTTCAATAAACAGACAGTGAGCGAGTTTTAAGAACCCCACACCTCCATTTCCCTCTATGTAAAACAAGCATCATGGTAGGGACTTGCATTTTGAGTGTTATGAAACTCTCTGCAGGACTCCTTGGACATAGCTGGGATGAAAGGGAGAACCACAAAATAATGTTGCAATTCCCTGGAATGTAGAATAAACAAACATAAGCTTTTGGTAAATTTTACTGGAGTTAAGAATTTTAAAAGATGTTTCATGATTATAGTTCCCATTCATCTATAAGGACTTGAGTGGCCCAAGGCTAAATGTCCAGTAATAGAACTTAGGAGTCAAAAGATATAGAAAATTGGGGGCTCATACTAATATCTTAATTTTATGTTTTTGCTATATGATCCATACTTCTCTTGCCTTGATTTGTAATTATTTATGTGATGAAGACTAGTTATAGACGTATAAAGTATAATGTGCTATATCATGTATGTATGTGGTATACCATAATTTATGCATATCTCATATGTATATTAATAATCGGTATTTTTGTAGTGAAACACTTGAAGATAAATGGAAGAGTGTAGAAGTACAAAATAATGTTGAGTGAAGCTATTGTAATTTTGTGAGGATTATTTATTTAAAGAGATGCATATTGGAAAATGTCTAGGAAAAAATTTAGAAAATATTTAGGTCCTTGCAGGTTTACTTGCAGTAACCAGGGCGAATTACTTAGACATTCCACACCTAGGTTTTCTCCTTTGGAAAATGGGTCAGTAATTCCTACATTTGTCTGATTCTTAAGACAAACTAGACATTTTCTTTGCATCTCTATCCAATCTGTAGCTGTTGAAGTTAGTCAAGTCTTAGTTATAACTTTTCTTTTTTTTTTCTTTTAAAAAAAGATTTATTTTACTTTTATTGGAAAGTCAGATATACTGAGAGGAGGAGAGACAGAGAGGAAGATCATCCATCCAATGAGTCACTCCTCAAGCAGCTGCAACGGCCAGAGCTGAGCCGATCTGAAGCCAGGAGCCTCTTCCAGGTCTCCTGTGTGGGTCCCCAGTTTCGGGTCATCCTCCATGAACTGGTGCTTATTTGGGATTCCAGCAGTTGCAAGGTGAGGATTTAGCCACAAAGTTGCTGTGCCGGCCCCTATCAATTCCATGTTGTAGATGAAGTTATAGAACAGTTAATGCACCTAACTCTAAGTGGTCATTAATTGTGCAGGAGGACATGGACTGCGACAACCTGGATTTAGGGCACACACTCTTAATATGCCATCCATGTGTT